GCAAAGTATAAAGCTGATATTAAACTGTTCTAGTATCATTTAATAACATGCTGTCTAATCTGGAGGGCATGTAAGAAGCCAGATTCTTTTTAGTCAGGTATGCCATCCACTGCTCTAGCCAATGAAGTCTAATAATTTAGCTATTGATAGGCATAAAGTAGGAGTTTGTCAGCATATGTATTTGTTCTGGTATTAAACCCTCTCAAAGAAACTGCTAACCCTGATGGTAAAGGCTGATTTGGATTGCCTTATGGCAACTTGGGGTTTTAATTTTTGTAGCATTGCTTTTGTTATCTGGAATCAGACAGTGGAGTCTTAGTTTAGGTAAAGGATGGGTGATCTCGTGCCCAATTAGAGTAGTCAGCCTGGCCATAGGAGTAACTCAGGTATTTCACCTTTTTCTTCTGGATGGCTTGTGAAGAGGAGAAAGGCATGTATGTAGCCTGAAGAATTGCTGGGTCATTCTAGAAGCATTTTTGCCTTCATACAACCTTTGCATTTTATAGGTGTTGTTTGCTTCAGGAACCATGCTCATGACTTCAAGATCTACTAGAGCCCAGGTGTAATGGACTGTCAGTCTGGTCTGCTTCTCAAAGAGCAAAATCCTAAGGGTGAATCAGAAAAGATCTAATTCCAGCAATGTGAAGAACAGGATATGCGAGTAGTTTCTGCTGGTAATGTTACAACACCAGACTTTTGACAGAGGCAGTGAGAAGAATGCCCATGATCAGTAACCATAATTTCCCAGAGTTGTCTAATAATCTAATCAGCATATTCTTTCCATATGCATGTTCTTGTCATTGCAGTTATTTCCATGTGCTTTTCCTTTCTCTCTCCTAAGCAGTTTCCAAAGACCCCTCACTAAATAAAAATCTGGGAGCTACCATATCTTAATTCACAAACTCTTTTTACATTGTATGAAAAAATTATGTAAAGACTATGCAAAATAATTTATGTAAAAAGAGACTATACATCTGTGATTAAAGGTTTCAGAGGGCCAGCTTAAATCAAACCTTGTGGTTCTCATCTGCGGAATCCCTTTTTCCATTGCTTGATTCCTGATCTTTGTATTTCTTGCTATGAATTACTGATTGGCCTGGCATTGCCAGCTTTGTGAGAACTGACAGGACTGTGGGCAAGATAATAGGCTTCTTGGCTATAATGACCCATCCTTTCTGTGAATATTCTGATAGAGATTTGCATTTTTTCTATCTATTAATCTATACATTAATGATCTATAATGCAATAATAAATTGATTACCATCACTAAACAGCGAAGAAGAGTAGTGACTTCAAAGAATCAGACACCTGTAGCAAGACTGAAACTCGCGTGCGTGAAGAACTTATTCTGTCTTTAAGCATGGGCTGTCTGAATGAAATTCTTTTACCTGGGAGAAAAACGAGTCTGTGCTTCTCTCAGTATGTGTACGGTTCCTGTCAGCATTAATTGGAACGCTGAGTGAAATTCATAAAGAAAATAGACCCTGAACCAGCAGCACAGCAGACTCTACAGTTGTGTATTTGTAATTGTGCCATGGTGGAACAAGCCCTGGAGCAAGCAAAGAGACTTGGAGATTTCCCACCTACCTGGCAGCTTTTCTGACTAATTCAGCTGTGCTGGCAAGTACTGCCAGTTAGCTCCATGCTATTTTCAGAATAAAATGTATCCAGCACAAGGCAAGAGGCGACAATAGTGAAATTCCCCCTTCGTTTCACAGAGGTGCATTTAACCCTTCTGCCATGTGTAACGGCCGTTATGGGGATGTGTTAGGACATCAAAGATCCTTTTGAGTATTAACGAAACATTGGCTGTCTAGCTGCACAATTGATCCCTCCTTAAATTCTGACTGCAGGAGTTTAAAATACAAACACCTAAAGGACTTTTTAGTAGTAGTTCTTCCCTTTGTGTAAGCATGCCTGAGAATCTTGCTAGCTTGGGAAAACAGCCTGTTTTGATGTATTAAGAAACAGACTGCTTTACCTGAAAGTTCTGTCTTCCTATAGAGATTTCACTTCAGCTCCACCCCACTCACCCCAGTTTACCCTGCCTCTGCTTTGGTGTGGTGGTTGTTCTCAACCAGGGCTTTCTCCCACCCACTGGCACTGGCTCTGCACAGTCAGTAACTGGGCGGACCAAACGTTCTTGTCCATCTTGTGATGTCCCAGTGACATTCCAGCTTCCACCTGGCTCAAACTGGCACCTTCCAGCCCTGTCTCACGACGGGTGTTTGGGACTTCCCTTCCTTTGACAAGACTCCAGAGGAAGTCTTGCTTTCTGCTCTCTTTGCCAGCTTGAACTTGATCAGATTTGAATTTCAGTGTGAAGGAAGTACAATAATGTAATAAAGAAAGAGTAAAGAATACCTGCAGAATTCTTTTATTTGATTTTGCTTAAGATATGGAGAAAACAGAGAAGTCTGCTTTCAATGAGAAATCAATTTATGCTATAAAAAAATAAATGAAAATATTCCTGCAGAAAAGTGCAAGTAAAGAGGTAATTTTATATGCATAAAGGTTACAAGAACAACTTGAGTGGCCAGTCTGTTGACTTCTGGTTTATGCAAGGTTTTTTATGCATCAAAAATTACTGCAGCTTCAGTTTAGAGCCATTTTGACTGTGAGACCATTCCTTTACATTCGCTATGGGGCCTCTATATTCTTCTAAATCTAACAGGAGGGGATTTTAGCTTACTCCTTTGGAGCTCAGTGAGGGACAGGTTTTTTGGTCTTTTTTTCTCCAGTTCTCTTGAGACTGCTCTCTGAATGTATGCCAAGGAGGAGCCTGTGGGGTCTGAAAGCTTCCCAGATAAGGTGAAGTTAGAAAGTGGATGGACTTAGAATGTGAATTTCAGTGGCAGCATAGTCATTGCCTAGCACTGGAAGTCTGATGAAAATTGCATCAGTTGCTTTTCAAAAGTTGCCAGACCTCATTTTTTATGTTAGCAAAATAATGTATTTTCCTTACTCTAGCATTGTTGTTAGAACCAGCTAAACTGTCTGTCTATAAGGGAAGAAAATAAATTACCCTGCAGGTGACATTCAGCATCAAAATGTTCAGGTTAAATAGATAAAGTTTGGCAAAAATAGAACTAACTGAAAACTGAATCTCCTGATGCCAAGTGTCAGGTCAGCTTTAGTGAATAGGACCAGTTCTGCTTTTGCACATTTACAGCAGCATCCTCAGTCAGTCCTAGAAGGAGATAGAATCTGTTTAATGTCTGTGAAAGTGAAAACTGAAGTTTTTTCTTGTACTGTTTAAATGTCTCCTTGTGTTAGTATTGCACTACTCAGCATAAAAGTCTAAATGGATTTCCTCAGCTAACAGAGTAAAATAGCATATAATATCCCACGGCTCCTGCAGCACCATTGCCAGGTCTGCTGCTATTAGAAAGATGGTAACTTACAGGAATAACTATAATTCAGTCAAATTTGAAATAAAAACTGTGGAAAATATGTTGCTTTGGGGGAGATGAAAATATACCAGCAATATTGATCTTAGTACCATATGATGTTCTTGCTGAATTCAAATGTGACAGGACAAAACAGATAAAAATGAGGAGCTGGCTGCCTATCACATGATTCAGCAGCCTTTTAGAGGCAGGGATATTGCTTTGTGTTTCTTCTACCAGTTGTTCTCCCCTGTTCTGGTTAGAAAGAAGTGCAGAAGGAGAGCCTCCTGGGTTTCTAGCTGTTTGCTTTGCTAAGAGAAGTTTTAGATTTGTTTGTTTTGAATAAAAAGTTGTTCCTTGAGGCTAGGACATAAAAGAGGTTTGACAGTGAAAGACGTTGCTACTTAGAGCAGGCAATTCTCCTCTAAAAATGTAATTATTTGGAGAGGTATGAGAACCCTGCCCTCTCTGTCCCTGAAATTTTTGCTTTCTCTTTTTTCTTTAGGAACAAGAGCATTTTCATTCTGATATGCCAAGAATGAAGCTTAGACTCAGTGTATCCACATTGACTATCAAAAAACAATGAAACCTTAAGGGTAGCTATATATAAAGATTCTTGTCTACTAGGGGAAAATATATAATCTATAAACAATTAATTACTGAGTATCGAACTCCTCTAAACCAAACAAACACATCCCTAAACATCATTCTCAGATTTCATTTACAAGTATTGGGCAGAATTTTACAAGCAAAATTTATCCCTCTTTAGCTAAAGACAAACCTATAACTTACTTTCAATACAGAAGCTGTAACTGAAGGTGATTAAGTATGCTCTAATTTATTGTAGTTTACAAGCCAACAGCAATATATATATATGTCCTACAAATCCATATGGTGATATGCAAGCATTTTGCTCCAGTAGTATATGTTTAGAAAATGTTTATCTGTGCCAGTGCTCTAAGCAATTTCAGAGTAAGCCTTTGACTAGTGTCATAAAGATCTTATGTTCTTCTCTGTTAAAAAATTCTGAAAACAGCTGCAGAGCTGAAGCTGTGTCTGTGTGCCATACTCTTTAAGATTTTTTTCTAGGGCAGAAGCCCAAGTGTCTTGGTTTGTTACGCAGAAATATCAGCGTTTCTTGCAATTGTTTGCACTGGAGTCTTGTTTATTTATTTCAGCAGCCAGAATAGCTTTGTCTGCCTCTCTGATTATGAATCCAGATCATGATAGCTTTATGGCTGATTGGATGATGTGTCTTTGCAGTTTTGAACCTGCTTGTTCTACCATTTACTATGAATTTGAAAGCTAAGACAACACAGAGTCTGAAAAGGCAGTTCAATGCTGAAAGGAATGCACAAATGCAAGTCTTTTCTCTGTAGCCATTTTGCCATGTTCTGGTGAATCTTTAAGCTCTTGTAGCTCTTTTAGCAGTGGCAGAAATTTATCCTCATGTACCTGCTGTATTTGTATGATACAGCATAGCATTTGCTTATCATTTTCATGTTTCTACTTGAATTTTGCATATAAGAGTTTTCTGTTAGAGAGGATTAGAAACTCTGAAACTTTTTTCCCCCACTATTACTAGGGTAAGATTGTGTGTAATATCTTTCACAGTTCTGGCTACCAAGCTGTCGTCATCTACTTCAGTCGTGTTTGTGTCTGAGGACATGCTGCTGGCACCATTTTGTTTTATCTGTGCTAGAAGACTGCCTCTTCTCCTTCTGTTCTTGTGCTGATCGAAGTCGCAGATTTTCCCTTAACAGGAAAGTGCGTGTTATGTTTCTGTCATTACAAATTCTCATTTTAGTTGAATAATCCTGTTGTTAACTTTCCAGTCCATCATTATAAGGTAACATAACAAGGCTTTGGTGTGAATACGGTTGCAGCATGATCATCGTGTTTCTTGAGAACGTGTGTGCAGCCACCTAAACCCACTGATTGCCTGATACAAAGTGGGCCACTTCTAAGTACTGGGCCCCCCCCAGTACTGCTGGGGGCTGATGCTGGATGTATTTTTGGTTTATTTTTATTTTTGTGTAAGAATCAGAAGCTGGACAAATTGTTGGGAATGATGGTAGTTGTGGTATGCAGGAAGATTTCAGTACAGGCGGGTGGCTGTTCTTAACAGATGATAGTACCAGCTATAAGATTTTTATCTATATTTAAATTGCCTTAATGAATGGACTGGTTTGTATTCAAAACTGTTTTTGCATTACACAAAAATGGCAGGAGAAGAAATATTGCTTTGAGAAAAATTCAGTAATATCTGGTGAAAGACATAAGCTTCATCTGTTCAGTATGGACTAATTATTTTCCATGTGTGATCTCCAGAAGTTTTGTTCTATAGATAGTCTCTTGAGTAAGTAAGTAATGTACTTTTCTAACAGTTCTAAAATTCTGATCTTCCATTTTTGTTCTTTCAATCACCTCAGTTCTGCAATGAAACAGAACGTTATCCCACGGTATCCCACATATGCCACATGAAGTCTTCAGTAAGTCTTTAATATTCTGTATAGCAAGGGCAATTTGGATGTTTATGTCTTTTCTTTTTTCTTTTTTTGGTTGGAGATGGGATTCTTTGATAAAAAGTATCTTAGACCTAAGTAAGCTTAATTTAATTTCTGATTCAATGTAATGAAACTCTTAACTTGTACTGTAGAATATACAGATAAATTATAGCTTTGAAGATACTGTAGCCTGATAAAAGACACTTATCTACTGGATGTATTAGGCCAGATCCTCTGCTGGTATTTATTGGGGTGGAGCTAAACTAATTTACACCAGAACTGTATGTGTTGCTGCTGTCTGAAGGAAACTGATGAGCAGGAAATGTGCCGACTGAGACCTTGATAGAACCAGAATTGGATATGCTGGAGAAGTCTTGTTCAGAAATGCAATGATGTTGGTTTTACACATTTCCATATGGAAAGGACCTCTCAGGACAGGACAACCAAGATGTGTGAGTAACAACTTAAGTGATTAAAGGGAAGTGTCCCACAGAATGGACCTGTCATGCTGTATATACAGTTAAAAAAACCTCATATTGGGAATAATTGCAATTAATAGCAAAGTGGCCGTTTTTTTGGGTTTTTTTTCCAAAAGGAGGACAATCTCTAGATAATTTTTTTCCAATTCCTTTATGATTCTCTGAATCTTTTCCTGTTTCATTGCCAATATGCATGGAGTAAAACTTTAAATTCATCAGGAAGCGTGTACACCAGGCAAATGCAGACAAAAGGATGCTGATTGTGAAATGTTCCTGTTCTTTCCCAACAAAACAATGGGGTTGGGAGAGAATAGAAAGGACCAACATGCTTATACCTTTGAAATTTTCCAGCGTTGAAGACCTTGGGTCCTTGTTCACATACTGTGGCTGTTATCAAACTTAGAATTTTGTGAAACTTCTGGGATCAAAACCCTTGTTGTATGTGCATCAAATTCAGTCCTGTGCTGCCTTGAAAATGGTGCTCCTTTGAAGTTTGCATAGCTTGTGAACTAGAGCATCTGACAGTTAACAGTGTTTGGGCCAGTCTTCAAAGGCTGACTTTGGGATCTCTAACTCTTAAATCTCTCCAACTTCATGCACCAAGAGGTAATCCATTCCTTTTTCTGCATCTTCTTACAGTACAGCTACCACTCCAGGGCCTGCAGATGAACCTGTTCAGAAAGAGATTTGTGAGCTCTGTTGCTGTTTCTTTGCTGGAGTTCATCATATTTGCACGTACACAGGAGCTCAGGCAAGTGAGAAGATCCAGTCTCTTAGGACTTTGATTCACTTAGGGAACAGTGCAGTTCTAGTGCAAAGTGGCTGGAGTGATTACAGTTCTAGAGGAATTTCTAAATGCAGAGAAAAAGCTATCAGTAATTTTTCCTAAGTGTTAACAAATAAATACAATGCATGCAAAGTGTGGTTACCTGGGGAAATTTAGGGAGCTTTAATCCTCATCATGAAAATCAAAGCCTTAGTACATCACCAGGGGAAGATGATCGACCTTTTTTTTCCAAACGCTAGACATAGCTCAGGCTTTCTGGCAATGTCCCTGGGATTATATTCATTTGTTCTGAAGCTGCAAATTGATTAAATTAGGTCATTGAAAGGCCACTAATGACATGTTTTGGTTCTCCTTTTATTGCAGCAGTATGTTAATCTTACATTTGGAATTTGATTCACATGGTAGCTGGCTGTTCAAAAGAGCAATTGGTCAGGGTCTAGACATATGCAATACAGTGAAGCTTCTGACCACAGCTATTAAAAAAGAAAACAAAGGAGGGAAATCCTACAATCCTGCCTCATACACATATTTTGATGGAATAGGGACAGCTTTGTTTCAGTCATTTTTCATAAATAGTTGTGTGGAATTTTAATTATGTACTCTAGGTGTAGTGCTGAAACACATCTCCCAAAAAATTGCTCTATTTCTGAATATTTCAAAACCACTCTGTGCGTGTCACTGGACTCTCGGTTTGTTGAAGCATTAATACCCATTGATGAAACCATAGATTTCCCCCCTCTCTCCTCCCCCATAAAAATACACATGCACACACAGGAGAGGGATTGCTCTGAGATAGTATGGGGATTCCTTCACAAGCTTTCAGTGGAATCTCCTCCGGTTTTATCCCTTACAATTCTCTTCAGCTAAAGTTCAGATCATAATTGCTCTTTTCGCTCCCTTCTCACCCTCTTTCCTGAGCTATAGCGAGGCTTTTTGACACCTCAGAGCAGCTCTCCCTATCTTAAATCCTGTCCTTTCCTGGTGTCCCTCTGTCAACATACTGCTTCTCATTATAGCTCTGGACTGGTATCATTTTCTCCTGGGTGGCAGTAGCAACTGCTGTGGCTCAGATATATTTATTCCATATGGTACCCTTCATCCACTTCCACCAGAATCCCAAGTCCCTTTCATTTTTCTTTCTATTCAGTCATTTCTTACTTAATGAACCCTTATTTACACTGGAATTGACGTGATACTTTCCACCACTATGTTTTGTTTGCATATCATAGCACTTATCTCTAGGTTATGTCTTAATATTTGTTTAGAATGTAATTGCCTTTGGGTAGGAACTGCTTCTGCGCATGTGTGTGTGCATAGTGTACCTATAACAGCAGCAACTCCTCTGTTGTCTGTTGAGAGCCAAAGGGAGCTAAGCATATACCATATACTTAGTATGTTTTTAAAATATTTCAGCTAGCCTGATCTGAATTAATGACAAAATATTTAAACAGCTACGTGTTCATACAATTCCCTTGACCTTAGATGAGATTTAGGCATTACTTAAAGTTGCACCTTAAAAAGTTTTTTTATCTCTAAAAGTTTTTTAATCAGGCCAAACTCAGTATTGTATCTACATTACTATAATTTTCATTTTCTTCTCCCCATCTCCATATAAAGCATAATTATTTAGGTTCCCATTTAGATACCCCCGAAAATGTGATTCACAGCCCATTTATAAACTACTATTGCCATTTAATTAAATTAATTCTTACAACAGCCTCAGGTAACAGAACAGATATGCTTCAATTCTGAAAAGTCTTCACTGATTCAATCAGTTTTATGTAGTCACAGACCAGGTTTTCTGAAAAGCTTGTTTGCTGTGCAAGCACTATAAATGCTCATTTCTCTAAGCATTCAGCATAGTGGATATTCAGCAGAGTAGCTGAGTATTTTGGAAAACATGGCCGTAGTTGCTGGTGCAGAGCCATAGTCTGTCTCGGAAAATTCTAGGGTTTTATTTTCTCAAGTTCTTTCAAAGTTGGGGGATGAGGAATCCCTTCGAAATATGTGACTAGGCTCTATATAGCTCAGAAGTGAAGTGAATATTTCTGAAAATCTCTGTTGGGGTGTGTCTTGCCAACGTGGATCGGAAGCAATGGCAAAGCTAGAATTGGAATAACAAAAGAAAACCAGAAATTGCCTTTGAAACAGATTTTGAGATTAAATTTAAAAAGGTAGGCTTCTTTAAATCTGTTGAGGTTAAATAGCAGGTCATTTTGCTAGCAGCTACATGCTTGTGCATGTATTTTGAAATGCAGTAATATAAGTTCGCTATTTGATGATGCATCTTTTTTAACATCAGTTTTCACAGCAGGAGTAAAATTGAGCGAGCAGAACCACAACCTCTGAAAATTGCCTTTTCACAGGAACTTCATACTGAAATTTCTCCTGGTATTACCTATCCTGGAAACACAAGCAGTCATCCTTAAAGAAATAGCACTTCTTTTTAGCCATGTGAATGATTGTCCCTGTAGTAGTAAAGCTGCGATTTTTTTCCTTGAGGAATTCCTTTCTATCTGTTGCTTCCTATGAGGTTCTTGAAGGCCATTTTTCATCTAAACCAGCTTTACACTGCCAAGCAACAGTCACAGGAAACCAAGGCTCCAGAAATCCTGTAGGGTCCTCCCACTCAATGTTGCCTGGCTAGCCAATTACCTTGATATTTTTATCTCTAACCTGATTTGGAACTAATTGTAAATTACTATTTTACCATTCTGTTTTCTGTGATAAATGTCCTACTCAATTATTATTAGATCTGCTCCTAGCACAGCTAAATCTCCTTATATCTGTGCCATACCTTTGTGCCTCTGCAATCTAGGGATATAGAAGCAACCTCTCATCCTACTTCACTGATTCCTGATCTCGTCCCAGAGACAATGCAGGATTTTCTAGCACGCCCTTCACTGTGGTAAAAGTGCCTTTCGGGATGAAGGTTCATGTCAGTTGTTTAACTTCTGTCAAGTTGCTTTCAAAGCAAAGCCCAATTCTTTAATCTCAGGGTCTAAGATGACACAACATTCATTTATAGATAAATATATATGTTCTGTATCTACTATATTATATTATAATAAACAACATTCATTTTTAAAGCTTGAGATGCAGTTTTTACCACAGAGTACATCAACCTTTGATGCAATTTTGAAGTAAATGTCTCAGTCATTCCCATTTACTGCACTTTGCCTCTCGTCACTGAGTGGTGTGAGAGCACATTCACTGGATTCCTTCTGGTTAAAACTAAACTAGAACATGCACTACAGGAACACCCTTGTATGCTCATTAAGCAGTTAGAGAACATTAATTCCTGGGTCCACAGCAGGGCTCATCCAAAGTGACGTATATTGGAGATGCTGGGTTCTCAGCACCAACTGTTTTGCTGTGCAGGTGTTCTCCTATCTCACTTCACGTTGCAGGAACACTGAAGTGATGGCATGCATGTGAATCCTGAGCAGAAAGTAGTGCTCTGGTCTGAGAAGGCTCTTGCTTGCCCCAGTTTTGGGAAGTTCACTGGAGACGGGGAAGTAGGATCAGAGAGGTAAATAGCTCTGCTCATTACTGTCTTTCCTCTTCTCCATTTCTGTTCCTGCTCCGTGCTCAGGGAACTGAAGGTCTTGCAAACTGTTTCAGTTAAGGCTGCTGAGCAGGCATGCTGCTCTTACTTGTCTTAGATAAATTACCTGGATCCCAAGAGTGTGGTGTACAGGCCACTGACAGAAGAAGCAGGCGAGCAGTTCACTGTCTGACTTGTTAGGGTGTGCCTAACAGTATCTGCCCAGCTACAGCTAACAGGAATCATTAGACTCACAATCATCTGGAAAGACCACTGATGAAGGATGGAGTACATTGGCAATCACAAGTGCTTCCCAAGTCTGCTGCTTCCCTACAGATCTTAGCTACCTTGTTTCGTATAACTACTGAAAGAAAATGCAAGATCCACCTATCCAGATTTAATCATCTGCATATGAGCTTTTCATCTAACTCCAGCGCGGTCATTCAAAGAAGCAATTCTCTTCCACAGGCAGCTGAGTTCATGGAGTCATGTATTGGAAAGTCTCACACAAAAGTGAGCTATGTGTTCCAAGCCACTGAGATGATTCTCCATTAGCACTTTAATCAAGGCCTTTGCTACAGTAAATGTTAAGCACTGTAAGTAATTGGTAAAGACTGCTGACCTGATAATGCTGTGGTAGGTTCAGCCTAATCTGAAAAAGAAATCCCCTAAAACGTTTACTGCATTACTGACCCAATGAATCATCGAAAAAGCAAAACATAATCTGAATGTTGTGCTCAGCAAGTAGAAATATGCCCGGAATATTTCAGAAAGGCAACACTGACAAGAAACAAAAGAAGCTGCTCAAAATGGAGCATTTTCCATGTACTGTTCCGTGGGAGCTGTTACACAGAGACCCCCTCAGTCTGCTTGTGAATATCCCTTTGGCAGGAATCAGTATGCAGGTGTGTAAATACTGTGACTGCTTTTGGCATCAGGAAGTCTTTTTTTTTTTTTTTTTTTTTTTT